GGGCGGGGGCTAGGGCGGGGCTTCCCCCCCCCCCCGCCCAGTGTCCTCTTTTTTGTTTGTGGAAATATGGTAACCCTAGGTTAGGGACAATGCCTGGGGAAGAGCCTGAGTTAACTTTGAGTGAAGACAGACTCAGACGGGCATTTTGCTGTTGACTTTGCTGGGAGCAGGAGCCAGGTCATTGACACATTCTCATTGTACAGCCAAAAGCAGCCAGAGACCTTTGTAAATCCCAGGTTTTACCTGCAGAGAAAGGCATAAAGGCCTCGTTTGGCCTAAATTCCCCCTTCTCGTCCAAGAAATGACCTGGGTTAAACTCTTCTGGAGTCTTCCAGTGCTTTGGGTCTGAATGCACAGTGCTGAACAGTGGAATAACAGCTGTGCCCTGTGAAGATAAAGGATAGAAGGAGACAGGAAAAGCAGACATTAAATACGGTAATGGATTACCTTGATTATCAGCGGAGAAGCAGCCTGCAGTGGAGACAGCTGGAAAGTCTGGTTGTGCACAGAAGGTAAATAAAGGGGCCAAGGCAAGTAACAACTGACATCCCTTTCAGGGAAGGCTTAAGTGGATCTTCGTTGTTGTGTAGCCCCTTTGCACAGGGCTGGCTTGGAGCCAGAACTGTGTCGCAGGAAATTGAGACCAGGCCAGGAATTATTTATTTTAGATTTATAAAAACCCCAAGAGGTGCCCATGCGAAGCTCAGGATGCTGACCCCTTAAAGATTAACAGACAGGGCTGCCCCGCCTACTTGGACACAGGAAAGTCACATGAGCCCAGGCCTGTAGCCCACCCTCACTTCACATGCTTGGGAAACAGATGGGCTTTACGGCATGGCCGGAGGCTCCAGGAGATCGGGTGGGGGGGGGGCACATTCCAGCATCTCACAGGCTGTCAGTCTAGCAGCTCCCTGCCATGGGGAGAAAGGCAGGCCCGGCCGGAGCATCTGTGCTGCTCTGGGCTGCAGCAGTATGGCTCATGGGGAGAGGTGAGTTCAGATCATCAGAACCCAAAGCAGGTGGAATCACACTCGCCACAAACTCGAAGCGGCATCAGTTGCCTGCTGTGCTGAAAAGTGCGGTGCTGCCAGAGACTGGGAAAGAGCCAGGACCTTTACAAACAAGCAAACAATTCGGTGGGGAGGGGATGCACTCCAGTCCAAGGCTCGCCCTCCACCCCTCCCCTGAGAGCGTCCTGAGGAGTTACTGCACCTGGGGGATGATGTAGCCCCGGAACTCTGTGCGCCGAGTCACTGCCCGGGGGAAGTTCTCGATCTGCCCTTTCTGGCTGCGCTGCATCTCATGGATCACTGCATTGGTGTACGGCATCCTCACCCGGTCCTCCATGCTGGGGGCATGGGTCGCCCCCACTACCTCCTCGATCTCCTGCTGGACCCTGGCTGCAAAGGATTAGACTCAGAGCTGTTGCGTTGTAAAGCTGCTGCACTGACCTCCCCTTGTCTTCGGTGTGAGGGAGCTTGGAGATTAAACACAGAGCAGCCTAACCGGAGTGAAAGGCCTGGTTTTAGCCCCTGAGGGTACGTCTACACGGCAGCCAGAGGTGAGATTGCAACCGGGTAGGCCTGCCCACGCTAGCTAAAAATGGCAAAGAAGATGCAGCGGCATGGGCTGTCCAAGCACCCCTGGGTCCATGCTCATGTTGCTAGCCCATGCTGCTGTGTCTTCACTGCTATTTTTAGCCGCACTAATGAGATTAAAACTAGTGTGGGTATGCCAGCCTGGGCTGCAAGCACCTCCGATTGCAGTGCAGAGACGTTCCCGAACAGGCACCAGGAAACGCAGAGCTCTGCTTCAGCCTCTGTCTGGTTATCCTGGCACCTGGTAGCCACATATTGCGGAGCATGCCATGGGCACCCACCCCGGCTCAGTCAGTGTATCCTGCTCAGGCAGGGTGCGAGGAGAGAAGGGTGAACTGCGACTAGACCCTGTACAGTACCTTAACCATCCAGCCATGCATGTGTGTGTAATGGGCCTGATCCAGCAAAGATCTCTGCATAAGCCCCTCACAGCACAGGGGTCCTTGGACAGTGTTAAGAGGACCTACTAGTCTGTTCTTATAGGGCACTTCAGCTGAGCACACTCAGAGGGAGAGAATCTGAATCAGTCCCCTTGCTGCATCATGGCTTAAAGCCACTGAAAAGAAACTCCCCCCTCTCCCCCCCAACCTCCGTTCTTTGTACCTTGAATTTGTGGGAACTTTGCCATCACCAAGAAGAAGAACAACAGGCTATTGGCAGTGCTCACTGTCCCAGCACCAAAGAGGTCAAACACTGCCATGAGCAGGTTTTCATCGCTGAATACATCCTCTGACGTGCTCTTTCCCTGGAAATGGATAGAGGGGTGGCTTGGTGGATTTAAAGAACGTGAACGCTGTAAAATCATCCCCAGGCTGCACAGCATACCTGCGATGGGAGTTTGGTTCCCATCCAGAGCTCTAGGCAGGGAAGACAGGGGTTCATTTGATTGTGAACAGCAGCTTTGCTGGATTCTGGCATGCTTTGGGATTCACCTCGCCCTCAGCATTATCTGGGGTCCTCGGCATTTCATAGCCCTGAGCAGCATCCATCTCCCCAGATAGTTCTATAAAATACACGGGTCACTTAGCTCACGAGTAGCAACTTCTGTCTTAGGATCACAAAGTGCTTTGGGAATGGCAGCTAAGCCTCACCACGAGCCTGGGGGGTAGGAATTATTACTGATATTTTACAGAATAACAAACAGCAGGAAAGTGAATTTCCCAAGGTCTCACAGGCAGTCAGTGGCAGAGAGAGGAAGAGAAACCAGGATCACCTAAATCCCAGATTTAGCTGCTAGGCCAAGATGCCGCTTAGCTAAGACTCAGAGCAGGCCAGTCTCATAGCAAAGCCCTTGATTGGGAGTCTGCTATTACTCTAGCACCCAGCCTCAGTTTACCGGCTGAGCTGGAGATATGGGGCCAGGCTGGGATTATGATGTCCCTTCATCTATTAATCCATAACATGTTGATCAGTCAGTACCTAGGTCTGAATGCAATGTCGTATAAGCCCATTGAATGGGGTCCCTGCTTGTTACTGTCATTAGAGTTAGAAATAGCCCCAAGGCATTCAGGCCCTGCTGTACCTTCTCTGACTTGATAAGGAAACAGTCAATGTAGTCCCGGGGACAGCTTGGCTCCAGGGTCCGCTTGTGAGAGTCAATCCTTTTTTGGATGAAGTTCTTCAACTTCTCACTTTCATTGAAGACCTTGTTGTGTGGTCCCGGCAGGTAACGCATGATGCCAGGAAAGGTGTTGTACACCTGGGAACAGGAGATGTGATAGGGCTGTTCTGAGATCGTGGGTGCACCCCTTTCATCCCCCCGACTCCCAAGATGTGGTGGCAGGGCTTGATCATTTCTCTCACATGTGGAGTCACATGTGGTTCCAGCCCTGATCCAAGGGTGACAACACCTCACTCCGATCAGCCACACCTTTGACAGCTGCGTTTCCAAAAGTGGCCAGTAAAAATGGAGGCCCCATAAAACTCAATGGCCACTTTGGAAGATTTTGGCCTGGGACTGCACAGGACCAGCTGATGCACAGCAGGGCTGGAAGAGGGAAAATGCTCTTCATGGCCCTCACTCAGGGCACCACTGAAGCACATGCATTGAAGAGGGTTGCTTCCCTGTATCAGGGCCTAGGGGTCTGATCCAAAGCTCTTGAAGTCAGTGAGTTTCTCCATTTACTGCAGAAGGCTTTGGATCCATCCAGCTGCCACTGATGTTAAGGAGAGTTGAACTGAACGGGGAGATGTATCAGAATGGGGAGGCGCCCCACGGGCTCAGAGGAGAAATACCCCGTGGGCTCAGAGGGGAGGTACCCCATGGGCTCAGAGGGGAGGCGCTGGTACATACCTGTGCGAAGGGAGACATGAAATAATTGCTGTAGTTCCCCATCATGCCCAACAGCTCCAGAAAGGCCTGGTCTTTGTAGCTGAAACGACTCCCAAAGACAACGGCGCAAACCACGTTAGAAACAGCGTGCCTGACGCTGGATATGGGATCGAACGCCTCACCTGCGGCATCCATGGAGGCAAGGGAGAGCACACCGAATAGAGTCAAATGCAACATGCATCTCTGGTTTGTTCGCAGACGAGTTCCTCCCTGCCCCTGTAAACATAATGCCCTTCTTGCCCATCACTACAATTAACCCTAGGATGGAACCCTTTTAATCTAAAAACCACCAAGATAAAGAGTCCCACCCAGTCTCTGTCCAGAGAAAGGTCCAATGACTCACTCAGCTCCCTGGCCCCATCCACTCCTACCTGCACAGTGAGACTGAGAAGGGGCACACAGATTTCCTACCCTCTCTGTAGGAATGCCCAATAAATATCCCACCCATAATCTTCTGAGCTTGGGGTCCAGAAGGCTTCCTCTCCTTTGCTGGCATCTAGGAGGCCCATTTCTCACCTCTGGATCTTCACAGAAAACCTGCTTTGTCTTTGTGCTTCTTGTAGCGGGGAGGAAGGATGGAACTCATTCACCTACCCATTACAGTCCAGCACGTGGCATATTTAGCTATGTAACTCTTCTGTTTTTATTTGTGCTTTACATTTCTACGCTCTCTCCCTCTGTGGAGAGCTCTGCTGCCATTTTTGTACTCAGAGCTCAGTGCAGATTGTCAAAGGAGACGCACATACTGTGCTCTCTCGCTCTCTCAGGGAGACACTACATTTTTGTTCTCTCTTATTTTAGATTAAGAGAGCACCCAAACTAAAGATCGTTCTGGGTGAAAGTATCAGTTTGCTCTTTGGATGTGGAAAAATACATCATCCAGTGGAACACAGGAACACTCTGCGGGGTCCTCACAGTTCTTAGCCCTTTAGGTGGAAGTGCATTCAGGGGCTGGGACTCAGAGTGAAATGTGTTATTCTCACAGCTGTCGCCTTGTGAAATTTAGCTTCAGATTTTTTTCCCTTTTGCAGTGAACCTTTCTATGAGAGTTACCCAATATCAATCCAATTTGTGGGCAAAAGCTACAGGGTCCATCCCCAGTCTCTCCCGCAATAACTGTGCTGGGTGCATTTGTGCTACCCTATCTGCATCCAGGCTCAGTGATGCACTGACTATTTTACAGAAGCAGGTTGTCAGGAAGGAAGGGAGGGATGCTAAGGCTCAGGTCCTCAAAGGTATTTAGGAGTTTAAATAGGAGTTAGTCTCCTCAGTAGCTTGGAGGGTCTGGGCCCAAAAGCTTGGCTCAGAGCACTGGAGTCTTTCCATTGATTTCAAAGGGCTTTCCAGCAGGCCCTTAATCATTTAAGGTAAGGGCATAGGTCCCTATTCCTATAAAGATCTCTCCCATTTACTTATATGAGTTGCTTCTTGAGACAAGGCTATTCTGTATCTTCTATTTGTATCAGCACATTGAAATGAATAGGGTTCAAATTACCTTCCATGTCTGCTACCGCCTCCACCAAATACTGAGTCTCCTCCTGCACCCGCTGTGCCATTGTCTTCTTCCCCATCCCAAAATTCCGCAGTGTAGTGATTGTGAACCTGCGGAGCTCTCTCCATTTCTTCTCACTACCAGTGACGAGCCCTGAAAAGATGCAGTTAAAAATCTATCATTTGACTGTCAAAACCCACAGCAGGTTACTAAAGACAAAGAGTCCAGAACTTCTGGAAAATTAACTATGAGCAGCATATCATTCAGCCAGTAGATGTCTCTAGGGTGTGCTGTACAAAATTCCAGACAGGATGTGGTTCCTGGTAAACAAGGGTGACAAAGCTGGAACTCAACCTGTGTGGAAGTCTGTTTGTTTGGGTCTGTAGTTCGTTTTATTTAATAAATGCCTCTGTTTAAGATGGCCTGTGATTCTATGTAACATGCCAGAATCCACATATAGTGAAAGCAGCTTCCTTTGTGAAAAATTGTTGAGGTTAACAAAATTGTTCACATTTTTTATTAAAAATAGTTATGGAAATGTTTCATTTACGGAAAACCTGGTGAAAAAATGCTATGAAAAACTGTGAAAAAGACCATTTCAAGCCAAACAGAATGAAATCAACTCCTGAAAACTTTCTTAGAATGGTCTTTTTTGACTAGCTCTTCTTTGTCCCTTGCATAAGGGGTGGGGAAATGCCACACCCTTGGGGACTGCTGTTTTCCGTAGGTATGCATTTGGTCCCCATTACCTGTTAGCTGAACATTTCACAATCTTCAATGTATTTATCCTCCTAACACCCTTGTGAAGCAGGGCAGTGCTATTACCCTGATTGTACAGATGGGGAACTGAGGCACAGAGAGACTAAGTGACTCGCCCAAGAGTGCATAAGAAGTCTGTGTCAGAGCAACAAATTGACCCCACATCTTCCAAGGCGCAGGCAAGTCCCCTAAACACTAGAACATCCTTTCTTGTCTAGGGCTTTCATCCATTCTCTTCTCAGATCTCTGCAGTCAGGGACTTCACCATAAATCCAAGGCGCAATAAAATAACCTAGAAGAGGAGAGACCCAAACACCCACCGTATCCGTCCGTCACTCTCTCATGAATGGCAATGGCAGCGCGTCCACCAAATTCTTCAGCATGACCCACCAAAGCGTCTCTCACCGCCTCATACCCGCAGAGCACCACAGCCGGTTTTGGGCCAAGCCAGACGGTGAACACTGGACCATACTTCTTGTAGAGCTAGGGGCAGAGGTACAGAGAGGGCTCCGTTAATCAGCTAAAGAAATCACTGACAATCTCTCCAAGAGCCATAAAGCTGCAATAGGGGTGGGATTTTGAATACTGGGGAAGATCTGTGACAAACAATGAATATTGTAACCAACTGAGCACAGATAGGTGGAGAACTAAGGCCTACGTTTTAGAGTGTACCTAGCCTTTGGAACAACTTACCAAGGGCATCCCAAGGCCAGGAATGTGAGACTAGCCTGCAAGGAAGTCCCTTACCTTCTGGTAGGATTTCTGCAGGGGCAGAACGTCTTTCTGCCACAGGTTGCCCAGAAGGAACCACGGGGCTGGTCCTGGAGGGAGCTGGTCTCGTTTCCAATTGTTTTTCCAAAGCATGAAGCACATGATGGAGAGGATTAAAAAGAGACTCAGGATCCCAGCCAGTCCAGCATCCATCCTTGTCTGTTACCTCCCTCACAGAAGGGCAGCAAAAGAACTGTTTTCACTTGCCAGAAAGGCTGGGTGAAATGCTGCACTCCACTGATGAGTGGAGAGGTGCCCAGATCTGCTCTCCGGCTTCTCTATATATAGCACCCTCTTCCTGGGCATCTCTGTCCCCTCCAGTGACACACTGACCTGTGTCTACATGAGGTTACTTAATGTAATTTCTTATCACATCTTGGTCTCTGACCCCTTATCTCCCCTTCTAAGGGTCAGTGACACAGAGATGATGTTGTGTCATGTGTGTGACTAATTGAACACATCCGCACTGGAACGGACACCAGCAGGAACTGTTTGTTCGAAAAGGTTTCTCTATCGCTGCTACGCAGAACAAGATGTCTATAACCGAGAGAGCATGGAGATAAACATGTGCCCCCAGCTCCACCCCTGTCTCTTGGTTTGTTGGTTTTTCCATTTGCTCTGCTTTGTGTATTGTTGGTTTCATCACGCCCCTGTATAATCAGCAAGGCTCCGATCCTGCAAAAGGGTCCGTGCAGGCCGTCCTGACTAGGAATCTGCACTAGTGCGAGGAATTGCCTGTACTTATCCCATTGCAGGATCAGAGCCTTAGTTAGGCATTGCCCCTCTTGTTTTTATGAACCTTGGGCACAGTAACAGGGAGAGAGAGCCATTGGTCAAAATAGGAAATAAGATTGTTAAGCCACAACAGTTGGTAGAGCAGTCAGGGGTTGGGGCCACACCTGAAACGGCTTGGAGCCCATTCCTTGAAATTAACTTGATTTAGTGTTGCCCCTAGAGCTGGTCAGGAGTTTTCCATCACACTGCGGGGTTTTATATATATGGAAAAATTTGCACAATCAACATTTTTCCATGGGAAAATTTCAGTGTTGCTGAATTTTTTTTTTTATAATTTCCTATTGGGAAAATTGAAACTAAATATTTTGTTTTGGGTTGGGTCAACCTCGAATCAGACTTGTTATGATAGATAGCTTCCCAATAGGGAGCTATATAGTATGACAGCATGCATATGTATAGAGTAATTTCTAGGAACCTAGTGAATTCTATTTTCAGGGAGTGTTTGATAGGGTTACCATACGTCCGGATTTTCCCGGACATGTGCGGCTTTTTGGTCCTCAAATCCCTGTCTGGGAGGAAATCCCAAAAAGCCAGACATGTCCGGGAAAATAGGGAGGGAGGGGTCGTGGGGCTTCGGTCCAGGCTGGAGCCGCTGGGGCCTGAGCCGCTTGGGCCGGCGGTGCTCGGCTGGCGGTGCTCGGCCAGGGCCGGTGCCGGGCCGGAGCCGCTCAGCCGGAACCGGGGCCCGAGCCAAGCTGAGCCGGAGCTGCTGGGCCCGGGGCCGGGAATGCCCGAGCCGCTGGGGCCGGCGGTGCTCGGCCGGAGCCACTCGGCCGGAACTGGGGCTGGGGGTACCCGAGCCGCTGGGACCAGCGGTGCTCGGCCGGAGCCGCTCGGCCGGAACCGGGGCCAAGGGTGCCCAAGCCACTGGGGCTGGCGGTGCTCGGCCAGGGCCGGTGCCAGGCTGGAGCCGCCAGTGCTCAGCCGCTGGCTGGTGGTGCTCGGCCAGAGCCGGTGCCGGGCCGGAGCCGCCATCCGGCGGTGCTCAGCCAGGGCCGGTGCCGGGCCGGAGCCGCTCAGCCAGAACCGGGGCCCGAGCCGAGCTGGGCCGGAGCCGCCAGGGCCAGGGCGGGCCGGAGCCGCTCTGCCTCAACCAGGGCCGGCGCCCCAGGGCCCAAGCCGAGCCGGGCGGGAGACGCCAGGGCCAGAGCCCCTTGGCCGGGGCCGGCCGGCCGCTGGAGGGAGCCGGCCGGCCGCCGGAGGGAGCCGCTCGGTCGGGGGGGCCGGACAGGGCCACACCTCCTCGCGCCTCGCCACCACCCTAGCCTCAGCTTACCTGCTGCCTCCCTGTTGCCTCCCTGTTTCAGGCTTCCCGCGAACATTTGATTCGCGGGTAGCAGGGGAGGGAGAGGAGCAGGAGGCGGAGCATTCAGGGGAGGAGGCGGAGTTGGGGCGGGGACTTTGGGGAAGGGGCAGAGTTGGGGCGGGGCCAGGGCCCCGTGGAGTGTCCTCCTTTTTTTAAATTAAAATATGGTAACCCTAGTGTTTGATGGGACAGGACAGTGCACAGAAAGGAAGAAAAAAAGACCGACTGTTGTACTGTGTTGGCTCTGACTTTCTTCTTGTGCTTGAACAATTACAAAAATATTCTAGTTTGTCAAAGAGAATTGAAATGTATCAATTTGGGACAGTTCGATATTAATGTCTGCCAAAGCTGCCATATTGCCTCATGGGAATTGTAGTTTGGTTACCTCATGCCCCCATTTGCCTCTATAGGCTGGACTCCCAGACTGGACTACATCTTCCATGATGTACTGTGATGCAGTGCATTGTGGGAGGTGTTGTCTTGCTGTGGAATCCAGCCAATTGAAGAGAATGGGGGCATAAGGCACTCAAACTACAACTCCCATGAGACACCATAGCTGCTAGGGGACACCGATTGACGTTGAACTGAGCCAAAATGAAAAAGTGGAGAATGTTGAAATGTTTTGTTTCAATCGGAGGTTTCGTGCTCATAGCAGGGCGATTTTGGATCTTTTTGACCACCTGTCCTCTGATTTGGAGGCAACACAGTTAGGAGAACTGCTCTGACCCTTCTGCAGAGGCTGCTAGTGCAATTGTGCTTTCTGGGCACAGTCATTTCTGTGACATGCAGTAAATGTGAGAATGGTCTAGTGGCCCAGGCACTGAGCTAAGGCTCAGGACATCTGGGATCAGTTCCTGGCCCTGCTACCGTCACTGGGGTGAGTTATTCAGTTGCTCTGGGCTTCACTCCCAATCCTTCCTTTGTCTGTTTAGACCAGAGATTCTCAAACTGGAGGTCGGGACCCCTCAGGGGGTCACGAGGTTATTACATGGGGGGTCGCGAGCTGACAGCCTCCACCTCAAACCCTGCTTTGCCTCCAGCTTTTATAATGGTGTTAAATATATAAAAAAGTATTTTTAATTTATATGGGGGGGTCACACTCAGAGGCTTGCTATGTGAAAGGGGTCACCAGTACAAAAGTTTGAGAACCACTGATTTAGACTGCAGGTTCCTTGGGGCAGGGACTGTCTCTTACTGTGTGTATGTAGCGCACCTAGCATGATGGGACCTCTGGTTGCTGCTATAGTAAATATATAATAACAATCCTCTGCAGTAAGAAACATCACCAAGTTTACTGCTGCATTAAAGAGATTTCATTCAAATTCCACCTCCCGTGGGAACATCACTCAATAAAAGGTGGCAGTGGATGGAGTAGTAGGTTTCCTCCATGTCCTTGGTGTCACTGGTTGTCCCAGTGTCGCTGTGTAACCCCCTCCATAGCCCTGCAAAGGGGCAATAGCACAAGGGACTATCTGGCCCCAGACTGTGTTTGCTATGACTAACAGCGTGAGCACAAACATCCCTGTACATATGAACTGTCTTGTGCAAAGAAACCTGACCCACCACATTCTGACTCCAGGGAGCAAGCAGAAGATAATTGCAGTGGTGGTGATGCAAACCACCTGGCTGGCGGGCTGAGGGGCGGAGGGGTGGGTGGCAATATTTTCCCAAGGTATTCTGCGCTTTTTAACCCACCGTTGCCAGGTGGCATTGTGATTGTTTGCAGTTTGGGGCCCTCCAGGAATTGATGCCAAGGCAGCCTTTGCAGAGGGGGCAAGCTGATCGCAGCCTCCTTTCTGTGAAAGTCCTGCTCCCCTGTGTGTGTGTGTGTGGGGGGGGGAGATGTCAATTCTGGGTTGCGGTCACAGTTTGGGGGATTGATTCTGAGCGTCGCCTGCTGAGGCTCATGCCAGCTGGGGCTTGTCCATGCAGCTACAGGGAGACTCAGACAAAAATGAACTCACCGCAGTGTTGCTGGCTCTCGTGATTTGATCATGAGTCTCACAGTCATAGAATCATAGCACTGTAAGGCTGGAAGGGACCGCAAGAGGTCATCAAGGCCACCTCCCTGCACTGAGGCAGGACCAAGTAGCCCTAGACCATCCCTGACAGGGGTTTGTCCAACCTGTTCTTAAAAACCTCCAATGACGGGGATTCCACAACCTCCCTTGGGAGCCTGTTCCAGAGCTTAACTGCCTTTAGAGTTAGAAAGTTTTTTCCTAATATCTAAGCTAATTCTCCCTTGCTGCAGATTAAGCACATTACTTCTTGTTCTACCTTCGGTGGACATGGAGAACAATTGATCCCCATCCTCTTTACTAGAGCCCTTGGCATATTTGAAAACTGTTATATTGTCCCCCAACCATCCTATTTTCTTAAGACTAAACAAGCCCACATTTGGTGATTTTCCTAAAGCCCCAGCTTCTGGAGTCATGGGATTTGGTGAGACTTTTCGTTTTTTTTTTTAAGTACATTTCTTGCCCTCATGGTAGCAAAGAAAAGATGGAAAGCAGGACCCATGTGTTCTCTAGAGTCTCAAAAACCAGAAGGTAAATATAAAGAACCCCATATTTATTGTCTTTAAAATCCCATGATTTTGGAGGACAGGGGTCTGTATGGTTGGGGTTGGTCATCCTGTAGCCAGATGGCTGCTGGGGCAGTTCTCTCCTCACCTGGAACTCAGAGGTGCACTGGGCAGTTTGCCATCTGCCCTGCACCTGCTTGACTGCTGCAGTGAGAGCCAGGACCATTGCAACAAATATAAAGCATGAGTGGCTCAGACCCAACTCCGAGAAGGGTGGGGAGATGGAGTCCATGGGCATTTGAGCTGCCTGTCCCCCTACTGGAAGACACTACTAGTCTTCATCAAAGGAAAAGAGAGGAGAGTGTCACCTCGTGTCTGAGAAGTGAGTTATAAGCACCTCCTGGTGTCAGTGAGGAGCATCAACAAGTCGCCTGAGGGCCTGTCATGACAAATGAGTGACAGCATCTCGTATCCAAGCACCGTTCACTCTTAATCTGTGTCTATTTAATACTCTCAGAGAGAGGCTTAATTACCTACTTTGGATTGGTCCTTGTGTATGGACAGCCACCACCATCGTGGCTGATGTACCGGGGATTGAACCAGGGATTTCCAGGCCTAAACGCATCAGCTAAAGAGCCAACATTCCTGAGGTGGGATGTAACAGGCATGCGTCCGCT